AAAATCACTCCACTGTAAATTCTTCCTTCATTCTCCTACAATGTTAGTTTTGGAAAGTAAGTGATTTTTATTAACATGAAAACATGCAGTTATTTCTCCCATCTTAAATAGAAAGAACTCTTTCTTGACTCAACTTCTTACTCCAGTTATCGCCCCATTTCTCTCTTCTGAAAGAGCTATTTATAACTTCTCTTTCCAAATTTTCTCCTCCCATTCTCTCTTGAATATACCTTGGTCATGCTTTTGCTTCCACCTCCCCACAGAAACTTCCCTTGCCCAGCTCACCAAACTCTTCCATGTTGCTAAATTCAATTGCTGACTTTGGTCCCGATCTTACTAGCCCTCTCAGCAGCATTTGACATAATTGCTTCCCCCTGAAACACTCTCCTCCAGGCTCCACACCCTCTGAGTTCCCTTCTGGCTTTCTGCTGACTCTCCTATCCTCCAAATTTACAACACAGGTGTGTCCCACAATTCAATCTCTCTTCCATTTGTAGTCATTCCTTCGGTGAGCTCATCCCAGTGTGTATCTCCCAGAGCTCTCCGTATTCCAGGCTCTTCTGTCCTAGTCAACATCTCCACCACTGGAACACACCAAGCTTAATCTGTCTACAAGAGGATCCACTCTTCTCTGCATCTCTATAAATGATAGTTCCTTTCTTCCAATTCCTTAAATGAATGGCATGTAACAGATAAACAGCCTTGTGGCCCTTCTCTCTCACATCACTCACCCAACATACCTGAAATTCCCATAAGGTCTACTTTCTACTCTTCCCAACATCTCTGTTGAGTGCTTGACCAAGCCACCATCCTTCCTTCCAGGATCCTTGCAACAAATCTCCTAACTGATCTCCCTCCTTCTGTCCTTGCCATGACTCCCCTTTCCATAGCCAAAATCACCAGGCAACCAGAGTGACCCTAATAAAATGGAAAACAAATCTTGTCATGTCTCTGCTCAAAACTGTCCAAGGATGCTCTTGTCACTCAAAACAGCTAAATTTTCCCAGTGGTCACTAAGGCCTGATGTCATATGTCTTCCATTGTCTCTCTGGAGTAATTTCTTACTATTCTGCACCTTGTTCAGTGCAGTCATATTGGCCTCCTTACTGTTCCATGTACATGCCAGGAAATCTTCTGCCTCAGTGCATTTGAACTTACTATTCTCTTTTTATGAAAGAGAGGCCTACCCTTAGCAACTTTCACAAAACTACAAATCCCATCCAATACTTTCTGCTTTACTTTTTCCCGCATAATGTTTATTGATATTTTATATATATTTACTTTTTAATTTTGTGCTTAAGTTCCAACAGAAAAAGGCTTTTTGTCTGTTTCATTTACTGCTAAGTTCCTAGTACTTGAAGCAGTGCCTGGCAAAGAGGGAGTGTATGTGTTTATTAAACAAATTAAGTACCATCAAAATGGTATGATTTATCTAATTATAGTTATTTTGTAATGACCAATGATAGAGGTTCCCCCAACTTCTGCATCAGTCTAAAGAGAAAGAGCACTTCATTAATATAACTACGACTCACACATTCCAAGCAATTCAAAAATCATCCACAATTTGATAATTTATTTGAAGGAAAATATAAACTTATTGATGATAATCATTTCAAAATAGGTACTAAAGGCCAATGATGGACATAAAATTTTAAATGAAAAAAAATGTGAAATGGAAAATGTGTGTAAGTAAATATGTTTACCTTTAAAGGGGGGATTTCCTTAAATACACACTAAAAAAGCAGATGATATGGACTTAAAGATACTTTATTTGGGAATTTTGCTGTGGACTGCTTTCTCTGGTCAAATATGAAAGATGAATTACAGAATATTAAAGACCCAGGGTGCCAAAAGTAAGCACTGAGCTGCTGACTAATCAGACAGTGGCAAAGTTTTTTAGGGGAGATTAAATTTGACTATGTCTTCACTTTTATCATGAATTAAAGATTCTCCTAGTTCTTTCTTGAAATTCAGTGTTAAAAGAGATAACGATTCTCTTAGTGTCAAAACGTTCAACTACAGAGCCTGTCTTTATTCATTTGAAGGGGAAACCTTCTCAGTCTATGAGACATGTTTTCTGTAATTGTTGGGCATCATGACACACAGCTAATGAAGAAAAACCACTAATCATAAAATGTATGTAGTGTTAATCATTTCAGATGTAAATGGATTCATAGTAGGCTTTCCAGGTTTTCTTTTTTCTTTTCCACCTTGAGCTAAGTTCCTTGTTTTCCGGGTAAAAGAGTGAAGTAACTTCGGGGAGCTGAAATAGCTATGAGTATTATTGTCTCTTGGCTGTAGCTGTTTATAAAACACTTGATTTAAATAAGAGTGCTTTTGATGGCTTCTAAATCTAATAACACAATGTAGATGCAAGTTTATTGTTCAACTAAGGGATATTTTATTTAATTATTTGTGACAGGGAAAAATTAATTTATCTATAATTTCCTGCTACCTCTCAGGCAGAGAAGAACCTGTGAAGACTCTTCTTGCTGAGCCTGCTGTGGCCATGAGAACACAAAGCAGAGCTCAGAGCTGAATTAGAACCAGTTGTGTCATGTATCCAAAAGACTGGAGCCAGACAGTGGGAAAGGCTGTTTAGAACAAAGGTTCCAGAAAGAGGAAAACCTAGCTGTTGGTAGTGGATAGAGGACTGTGGGGGAAAAGGAGATAAATGAAAATTGCCATCCGGAGAAGTAGTTTTGGAGGGAAAAGGAAGAAGAAATGCTTAGATAAGTTTTTATGAAGTTTTCCATATAGTGACATGACCATTTTTCTAATTGCTATTTTTCTAGTATACATTAAACAAATACTTAGCTATTAAAATTTTTTAAAATGACAACCAAATAAAATGATCTTGTATGCAACCAAAATCATAAAGCAATCATCCAGCACACCATGGTCAGCACAACTGGGTAACAAAAGGCAGAACAATTCTCTGCTACCTGCGTTAATTCCAGTAGATGAATACTGTAGCAGAGAAGATATTTTAGGAGACACAGAAGATTTTCAATCTCTGTAGTATTGGGTATTATTCAGAAAAGTATTGAGCTTTTTGAGTTTTAACTAATAAGTCATAAAATGGCATTAAATTGATCTAGGCAGAAGAAACCCCAGGAATGGAGTACATAGCTATGAAGCTTAAAATAGAAATCTCTCAGTAACTGAACAAAGCTGCCTAGTTTTAATGGGAATTAAGACTCTCTGACAGAGTCAGAATGGATCAGAAGAAGGACTTTCATTATTTAGGATCAGGTAGCAATTCACATTTCTTTATATAAAAATTCCAAATAAAGAAAAAGAGTAAAAGATGAAGGAATCATTTCCAAGGATAAAAATAAAGGGGTGCCTGGGTGACTCAGTCAGTTAAGCATCTGTTTTGGGCTCAGGTCATGATCCCAGGGTCCTGGGATCAAGCCCCATGCAGAAACCCTGCTTCTCCTTCTCCCTCTGCCTGCTCCTCTGCCTGCTTGTGCTCTCTTTCTGTCAAATAAATAAATAAAATCTTATAAAAAATAAAAATATTAATGCACTACCATGTTAAGAAAAGAGTATACAGTTGTCTCAATAAGCACTTAAAGAACAAGTTTTATCAAAGATATGTTCTATGGGTAGAACAAAGATTTCCTGAAGCCCAAAAAAAGTAGAAACAACATATTTAACTCTGTGTGTTGCTCCAAGGAAGCCTCCAACTGAGATAGTCTTTGGAGAAAACCAGATTCACTTTCCTGAGGAGAACCTCTTATGGCCACTGTCATCTTGCCATTTTTTTTTTTTAAAGATTTATTTATTTGAGAGAGAAGGCAAAAAAGAAAGAATGAGAGAAGGCGTGCTCTCAGGATGAGGGGCAGAGGGTGAGATAAATAAAGGGAGAGAAACAGACTCTGCAGCAAGTGAGGAGCCAGACGTGGGGTTCAATCTCAGGACCCTGAGAACACAACTTGAGCTCAAAGCAAGAGTCAGATGCTCAACCAATGGAGCCACCCTGGCAACCATGCCACTTTTCTAGTTCTCTTTTTGGAGATGTTCCAGAAAAATACTGCTCTGTTTCATAAATTCTCAAGAGTTAAGGTCAAACAGATCTGGAAAAATCCCAGATACCTAAAGTTCCCTAAGACCAGCACGCAACCCATGTGTACCATACAAAGAAGAACGTAGATGTCTGATTTCAAAATGTATCCCCTCAGCCTTGAGGAACAGAATCAGAAGCAAACATTTTTAACTGCCAATATGTTCTTCTCATTGACTATGAAAAGCTCCAGAAGCTTTGCAACATGTTTAAGGAAAATCTAAGAGTTATGTAATCTAGCTAGCAGGGCCAAATTCTATAAATGTGCATAGTATTTTGGGGTACACAATAATCTCATTGTGGGTCAGAGGTGTGGCTGGACCTCTGGTACCTTCCTTAGTTTTTTCTCTTAAAAATACCAATACAGAGAAGGAAAGAGGAGAAAAGGAAAGAGGAATGTTTTACCAAAGCACTGGTAAGGTTAAATCTTGAGTTATGGAACTTGGTAGACACCTGAATATCTCTTAAAATGGAATCATTTTCTAAAGTCCAGCTGTTTTTGGTCAATTCAGCGAGACAGTCTCTCCTGGTACATGATACCCAAGCTCATTATGTTTCCTGAAATGCCAAAAGAGGCTCCAGAGTAGGATGATTGTGCTTTATCCAAAGTTTTCTTAAATCCATGTAATAGAACCCTCCCTTCCCATAGACAGAGAAAATGGGCATAGGAACTCAAGTAAATCATAATACTTCGAAACAATTCATTTAATTGAAATAGAGTATTTTGATTTTCATGGAATCTTTTGGCATTAAAATTTTCTCAAAGGCAAACTGTGCTTCAAAAATTAATTATTGGAACATCCCCAAACACTGCAGACTGGCGAACTCCAACCAAATGAAATGTTCAGTTAACATAACAAACATAACATAAATTGCCTCTCAATATGAATAGATACATTTGTGTTTCTTCTCATTCAAGCAAAGTATTTACCTCTTTCTCCATTTGTAATCCTTCTGCTCTAATATTTCTTTCAAATACTTCTCTCTTTTCGGTCTGTGGGTTGGATTTTCTGTACACAAGAATATAGTCAATTCGACACTTTCCATCTCTGAAGTAAAGTCCATTTGATTTATTTTTTTCTGGCACTGTCTGCACACAGAGAGGAAGAAATCATAAAGACACCCATAAAAATGGGCCTGAAGTAATATTAAAGAATTATAAGTAAACGAATTTTTCACTGTGTTTTACCAAGATCACATTTTTATTAATGAAAAATGTAAACAGCAGGGAAGAGAAAATAAAAATTGGAAAAAGAACTGAGTGAAGTAGATAAAACTTAAGACACCTAACAATAATACCAAATGTTGGCAAGGATATGGAACAACTGAAAATGATCATATTCTAAAAGTGAGAGTGAAAACTGATATACTTACTCTGGAAAACACACTGGCATTATCTTGTAAAATTGAACATTTACATAACATACAACCCGTAACAAGAAAAATCCTTATTAGCAACTAGGAGGGGCTCCCTGGTGGCTCAGTGGGTTAAAGCCTCTGCCTTTGGCTCGGGTCATGATCCCAGGGTCCTGGGATCAAGCCGCACATGGGGATCTCTGCTCAGCAGGAGCCTGCTTCCTCCTCTCTCTCTCTGCCTGCCTCTCTGCCTACTTGTGATCTCTGCCTGTCAAATAAATAAATAAAATCTTTAAAAAGAAAAAAGCAACTAGGAGACATGTATATGACTATCTATAGCAATATTGTTCATAAGAGTAGAGAATAAAAAATGTGAATCAACTCAAATGTCTATGGACAGGCAAAGAGGTAAAAAAAAATTATAGGACAGTCATATGGTGGAATATTATGCAACAATAAAAATGAAGACATTGGGAGATGGAGAGGAGAAGTGAGTGGCAGGGGTGGGGAATCGTAGCGTGTGACAAACCATGAGAAACTGTGGACTCTGAGAAACAAACTGAGGCTTTTGGAGGGCATGGGGTAGGGGGTTGTGTGAGCCTGTGGGTGGTATTATGGTGGGCACGTATTGCATGGAGCACTGGGGGTGGTGCATAAACAATGAATTTTGGAACCCTGAAAAAAATTAAAAAAGAATGAATGACCTACAGTTACATCTAATAGCAAGCATATATCTTAAAACAATATTGACAGGAAAAAAAAACAAGTCACAGAAGACTTCATGCTACATGATTTTTAATAAAGCACAAAATAAAATGAATCTAGAAAGAAGTTGTTAAGGCTATATATGTGCATGGTAAAGCTATTTTAAGGGCAAGAGAATAAAAAAAGCAGTGATTGAGGAATATGGTAGTGGGATGGGATTAAAGTTGCTTTGGTGGTCTTAGTATTATTCTAGTTCAACATTCCTCAAAAATTTTGCTCACAATAAAAAAAAAACCATTTTACTCTGTGATATCTGTGTGCATATATAAATATACCAAGTATCTGAGACAAAAGTTCACAAGATAATACTTATCCTTTCTACTTGCATACATGCTAATATTAATTTTCCATTCCACTAAAAATAATTGGGAGTTAGTAACCCAAAACTAGGTTGCCATCATAATTTGAAAAATACTTAGTTCATCAGTTGGATAGTAATTCAATTGTTATTTTCAAAACTTACATGTAAGTTATAAATATTATTTAGTAGTCATCACACATATAAAAATTAAAGAACAAAACAGTAGGTATAATTTTCTTCCAGGCTCCATAGGCTTGTTATAATCATGTGCAACACTGAAAGAGACATCAAGTACAGGCCAGTTAGCCTTTAGCCCAGTTTCCCAGGCTGATAGATTTCAAAAACATGTCTATTGAACCTAGCAAGTGGAAATGGGGGGATGGGGGTTGGCTGCCTTTTCTTTAGGCCCAGTTTACATCAGTTTTCAAATAGTGGTATATGGGAGGCAAACATGCCAGGCCTCCAAGGTCATTGCTAGAATGTACATTCTTGCACAAGTGCCATGCCTGCTGTCTCATCCAAAAGGGAAAGTTGTCAGCCGGAGGAATGAAAATGTCACATCCCATGTCTTGGTACAGACATTCTCAAGGGATGACCAGTCCTCACTGATTATTATTATTATTATTATTATTATTTTACTTTTGCTTTAAGAGGTACTCAGAGGTCTACCCAAATAAACACTTTCTTAACAATTATTTACCAGACAAGGGAACTACTCTGTAGACTTAGCACATCAGTATCTGTCTGCAAAAATAAGGTTTCAGCCTCAGCATCAGGAGGAGGGTTACCAAAGCCTTAACTCTCTTGAGACTGTTTCCTTTTCTGTAAGTTAAGGAGATAAGACTAGGTGCTCTTCGAGGTCCCTTTTGAGAATCCTCCTTTATGTCACATCATGGCACTCAAGGTAACTAGGTGAAGAGATGAAAAGGAATGAGGTTTTTGTTTTTGTTTTTGTTTTAATACATGAATAGTAGCATATGGTGTTGGTAGAAAGAGGTCTGGGAAGCTTGGTAGAAGTAAACAATTTTTCCTGTTCAAAGGTGTTATCCTGTCGATGGTTAACTGCCTCTGAAATAATAACAGTAGGAATATGCATAAATGACTGATTTTGTGTTCCTATTACCTATACCTAATGCATATACAAAGAAGGTATTAAACTCCACTGAGACAAAATCTAAGCAATAGTGAATGCCCCTAACAAAAGACTTTTCTTCCAAAATGACATATGAACAGATGGATATATTTACAATTGCAATGTTTCCAGATTACAGAGGCAAACAGAAACTGGGGGCGGCTTTGGACAACATAATCTACTGAGAGCTCGACCATTTTGTGTCACTGTTCTATGTGCTGGGAGATTTATACAAGGAAGTCCATGCTTGTAAAGCTTTCTTTCTAATAGTGATGCTCAGAATGTAGATTATCACAAAATGACAGGTGATTTTAAGTGTCTCCTTTTATATAAATGAAATGTCTCTAGGTATAAGAAGGGAAATATATCACTTAGTGAAAGTCTGTTTTAAGCATAGGTAGATTCAGGATCCCTGAAATATGCTAGACCTATGGAGGAAATCAAAAGACTATAAGACTTGTCCCTTGTTTTCTGGAAACCCACAGTTCAACAAGATGATGACTTTACACAATCCACTGGAATATGCTTCACAGGTTTCTACCTGGATGAAATATTGTATTTTTAAGAAATCATACACTTACCTCTCCCCCTGCTTCCAATCTACTAGCATCATCTGAAGTACTGGTCAGGTTTCCAGGGTGAAGCAGAGAATCATCATCTTTGCAAGGACTGTTGACAGCTTCTAATTCATCAAAAAGAATATTGACATCCTTGGCCACTAAAACCAAAATAAATTCATTAGAAGTGGGGTTAAGAACTTGGGATCTTAAAATCAATACCAAAATAGAAGACACTTCCCTTTGACTTCATATTTTTTCATTGTTTCAATAACACCTTAATGATAGGTCTATTATTTTGTAAGAGAAAATGATGTCAGATGTAAAAACATGTTGATCAAACAGTCTTGATAAGGCAAGGAAAATGTGAAGCAAAGTGAAGTACCTCCACATATAAATATAACTTTCCTTCCATGACAAGAGGAGGTGTTATGTTTGTTTAGTTTTCCTTCACCTACTTGTTTAGCATCAAGTACTTTCACTTATTACTTCCAAGAACTCATTCTGTGTTGGACCTAACCTCTTTTACTTTATCTCATTTTATTTTTTATGAAAGTGCCTTACAACTTGCTAAGTGAACCCATATTATGTGCCAACTTCCAAGGTTCAGTAATATCTATAATTTTATTCCTTTGTTCCTTCCCAAAGTCTAATAAAGAAAACCTTATACAGTAATAAAGCATGTAGTTAGGTTTTCTGCATTTTCTCTTTCTCTAATCATGAATTGAAATCATGAAGGTACCCATTCAAGGGCTTTCCCAAGAGATTGTTGATGCCAATACATAAAGAACTATATATCAGACTTCCAAATAAAGACTTTACCATTCAAATACATAATACCTTGAAGTGGACCAGATATGAAAGTTCAGCACTAGTGGCTGAAGATATATAGTGCCAGGTACAGGACCCTTCCTTAGCAACTCGAATGACAGACCAACATTGGAGTTCACCTTTTCCTTTGATGCTTTAGAAATTGCTAAGGATTTTTAACCCACCACAAGCCTCTGTGCAGAATAATTTGTAGGCAACATGGTACTATTTATCTATCACATACAAGAATATTCATCCTTTCATTCAAAAAATTTTTAGAGAGGTGCACATTATCTTGTGCACAGAGTTGAATGATAGCCATACCCTGATAAACAAAAGTGACATGTCTTCCTGCCTTTGTGGTAACTAGTAAACAAAACAAATAGTCAAAGAATTATAAATTGCATCAAGTGCTATAAAGAAAAGAACATAGTTTGGATACAGTGGGAATAGAGATCATCTACTTAGTTGGTGTGACCAGGTTCTAAAGCAATTCATTTAACATCTAAGTTTTTCCTCTGTAAAATAAAATCGGCATGGCAATAAAATTAACACTTACTGCTTACTGTGGTAGGCTGAATCATGCCCCCCAAAGGTGATCTAGATCCTGGAACACATGAATATGTCACCTTCTATGGTAAAATGAACTCTAGATGTGCTTAATTCAAGGATCTTAAAGTGGGAAATTAGCTTGGATTACATGAGTGGGCCCAGTGTAATTATAAGTGAGGCAAGAGGGTCAGAATCAGAGAGACAGATTGGAAAATGCTATGATGTCAGCTTTGGAAATGGAGGATAGAGCCATGAGTCAAGGAATGCAGGTGCCCTAGAAAGTGGGGAAAAGCAAGAAAGCAGATTTTCCCCTATATCTGATAAGGAACACAGTCTTGCTGGCACCTTGATGATTTCTGACCTTCAGAACAGTGATAAAATAAATTTGTGTTAAGTCACTAAGTTTGTGACAATTTGTGGCAGCAGCAAAACTAAACCAATACACTTGTTACAGGTTTTTAGACTCTGCAGATCCAAAGGAAAAAAATCATGGTCTTTTCCTACAACTGGGATTTAGGAGCACCTCTGATGGGCCAGGAACTCAAGGAAAGGTACAGTTTTGAAGGAGCACAGTATGTCCAGTGTTGTGGGAGATGTCAAGAGGAAAGACAACTTCTCTGACAGGCCTACACAAGGAAAGTCCCTCTCTTCCACTTACTCTCCATCTCCTCTCACTGCTCATTTCTTCACAGCACTTATCACAAACTGTAATTATATTGTTTATTCATTTGTTTACTGTGTGATGGATATTTACTCTGTTAGAATATAAGTTCCATAAGGGACCTTGTCTGTCTTGACTGGTGTACAGAGGTCCTGGCACAGCCCTCAACACATATTTAATGACAGAACAATGATCTCAAGGTGGACACGTCTAATGATGTCTGAGAGCCCCCCTTTCTCCAATATCCTATGGTTCTAGGACATTGTATATATATTTTTCCTAACACAATTCTTATTCACAAGCTAGGAGCACCACAGTTTCAAGAAGATGCTGATTAAATTTTAAGTGCAGAGTGATTAAATTTCAAGTAGATATTGATTAGATTTGAACAACAGCATAAAAATATTTCAACAAAGTAGATCTGCTTACAATTCTAAATTAAACCCCTCAGCTGTGTGAACTTGTGCTCCCATTTCCTCACTAGTGAGGCATGTATGGGAAACTTCTCTCTCAGGGTAGCTGAAAAGAGGATTCAGTGAGATCATATAAATATTAGTCTGACCCACAGCAGAGCTGCAAGGAATGCTGGCTTATCAATTTTAGATTCTGGGACCTTACGTCAGCATTTGGGTCTCAGCAGCACAAGACAGGTCAGGCATTTACAAGTTGGAATGGTTGTTATGAAGGGTAGACTGAGGTAAGGTGTGAAATAAAGAAGCTAAAGAGGACAATGAGATTCATGTCCAAGTGACTGGCTCTCCTTGGGGACAAACTCTTGCATTCATCTGTCCAGGAGAATTGCCCCTTTGCTTTTGCTAATGTAGAAAACTACAAGATCTTCTGCTGGTATCACCTTCTGGTGTTGGTATAACCAGTTCTATAAAGCCCTCTATATTCTGGGGCTCCCAATTGGGACTCTCTTGTCACCCTGAAGATATATGGCATTGTCGGGAGACATTTTTTATCATTATGGCTAAGAAGAGGGGGTAGTGCTAACATCCAGCAGGTGAAAGCCAGGGGTACTGCTAACCATGCTACAATGTCAGAAAAGCCCCCTACAAGAGATATCTAGTCCAAAATATCAATAGTGTCGAGGTTGAAAAAGTATGCTCTATTAAAGGTGGAACTCTTTGATTCTAGAGGGACCAGCTCACTTGGAAAAAGGAAGAGAAGTCTGTTTTCCCTACTTCTGCCCATCATTATTGCTGAAGAAGTTGTGATGTGGCTAATGCTACCTGAGTGCTCAAGGGAAACCAGTATGTCATACAATCTGAATTTTAGAGAATTTTTAGAGAATTAAGTGATATTAAGACATCATTATCACCTGCCAGCCTCCCAAGAATCTTAACAGGGATTAAAAATGCTGATCTGTCAAAATTTTCAGCTGAACACATAGTCAGTGAGAAGACTGTAGAACAAGTAGACAGATATACAGACAGAAGAAACACCTGTCCTTTATCAATACTCCACCATTCTTACTGACAGATCAGCTATACGAGCTAAGTTTTAGAAACAAAGTATAATATCCTTTGAAGCAAACTTACATCATTTCTTTAAGGAGAAAAACAACCTCCAACTTCCAGAGTTAATCAATTTTTTAAAATCTGTTTATTCAACAAGTTACTTTAGTTATTCAGCAAGTACTTAGCTACCTATCTTGGCTGGGCACTGTGCTGGGTTAGGTCAAATACTAGACATGACAAGCATGGCCCCTGTCCTCACAGAGCTCACCATCCAGCCAAGGTGACAGTGGGGCCTTTTTATCCATGGCAAGGATGTCACAAAGATATTCTAGATTCAAGCAGTGTTACTTTTAATGGATCCCCTCACCTTTCATGCAGCCCAAGTAACAGACCTGCTCTGTATAAACTCAGGAAGGGCTGTGTGAACAGAACTGGGAAGCTGAGTCACAATAGATAGATACCACATATGTGGAAAGCAAGAGAGAGCCTGAAATGATTGTCCTTCACAAAAAGCAGGTACTCAGCCTAAGAAGACCAGGGAACAAAGTAGCAAAGACTCACATATAATAGCTATACAAGAGTTAAGAACCTCAGATTGCCTGGGAGGCAATTTTGGGAGACCAAAAACCTGCTAGAGTCTGAGTAAATCATCAAACTCAGAATAGGTAAGAAGAGATTTCTGTAGGCTGACCTGCTATGTTATCCCAGAATAGAGACGGAGCAGAGAAGTCAGAGGGTCAGAAGACAGGGCAATTCTGACATTCTTTATGGGAAGGCAAGTTTACCCTGACAGCACTGAATCTACTCACTAAATATTTGTAATTATTTAAATTATTCAGTGAAAATCACTTGGATTTTTAGCCATTATTCACCTCCAGGGGGAAAAGACCACAAATGTATTTCAAGGGCTCAAATAAGTAAGCAAATAAATTAATTATCTTCTGCCATTTGTTCACTGAGCCAACATTCATGTTAGGTGCTAGAGGCACGAACATGAACAAGATATGAGTGGATAAAATCGAAGCAGGACTATAAAGGCAGGGAAAACAAACACTAAGGGTGTCTTGTATCTTTTAGAGAGTAAGAAATAAATACCAAAAAATCAAAGCACTCGACTCACTGCTCTTTTAACTCTCCTATTCCTCAAATGCAGCAGAAAAATCCCATGGTGGCATTAACAGCACAGGAGTACTTTAATCTCAGAATTTTCTGATGCAGAGAAAATCAAGTGAAATTATAGGTCACTGAAGACAACATAAGACTGTGTAGTGTAATGCAGGTTATCTATATTTGTCCTCCAGAGTGCCAGCTCATTTTACTATTTTTGTCCTGAGTTCCAAATTATTACATCTGATATTCAGAACTTTGAAAATATTGCATATTGACCTTAAAGCCTCAGTAGAAAACACACAAAAAAAGGACACCTTCAGGAATGATTTAGAATGCAAACAAAACAAAACAAAACAAAAAACTTGTTTACATCTTAATTTGAACATTTAGCTGTCTGTTTTGTAATAAGTTCTCTTTGCATCCAGCCCTAGGGTCTCTTCCAGGTGAAGGCCCAAGGCAGTTCTCTAAAACTGATTAGCAAATAGGAGGCACTTGGTGCCCATTTTTAAGTAAATAAAAACTAGTTGTAAGAGTCTATCAATTTTTTTTTTACTATGCATTCATA